AAACAACGATGTTACAGATATAAAAATTGCTATAAACCATGCAACTGAAGCTGGAGGAACAATTGCAGTACCATGGATCCAGATCCCAAGCTCGCGCACCCTCAGAGAGACCCTACTCCATCTAGTTCCATGTAGGCATGGAACGCTTTTATGAGAAGTTTCCTGCTATAATCAAAGCAATAATATATCGTGGAACCGTAATTCACACGGCTACATACTGGACTTGCAGTTTTTTAACGACCTCTTCAACTAGCGCCAGACAGTCTTAAAGCAGCAAATACCTCAAAAAGAAGATGTTTAGACCCACAGGACGGCTTATAAGAGACAAAGGGAAGTCAAGAAAAGGCGATTGCAGTCAGAAGAGTCAAACCTGGAATTGGCCAAAAATTTACCTGCGGTGTCTACCTATGGATGGGCCATATGAAGTGTTGCTGAGAGAAAGAGATGCGGCACTTGAAGGTAGAACACAAAATATGGGCGAGAAGCGATGCTTCAATGATTGAACAGAAAATTGGTCAAGGAGATTGATTTCATTTGTTGCTTTGGTAGGTTGCAACTTTGTGCTTACGATGACGCCTCTCACTGACGATGTCGGCGAAACGTTTGGGAATGTATCAAGCCAATGGTCCAATGCTAGAGATTACGAATACTATGGCAGAAAACACGGGACTAGATACGTTCCACAAGGTTTCCATAACGTTCCGACCAAGTTGCGAAAATAGGGTCGAATCAACAACATGATAAAAACAGGTTTCAAAGAAACCCTCACTTTATTGTGTTATACAATCTTCTAGAGAGAAATATGACCCATTATCGAGATCCGGCTGCTACAAGATTGTTTACTTCTGTGGTCGATCTTATGTTGGTGAGGCATGCTGACCTATTCGAAAAAGATTGGGGGAACATAAAATGCTTGTAAAGGGACTGAGTCCAATGGTCAGAAGTGGCCGAACACGGTAGAAACTAAACATCAAATAGAATGGTCTCAAACTAGTAGGCTTGTTGATTATGGTACGTCTTCGGTTAAAAGAAAGATAAGAGAGGCTATTAAAATTAATGGCTTAGGAAATACGTTAAACGTGAGGAACGGGGGTAGAACGTTGAGTAAGAGTCAAAACCGGCGAAGTCTGTTTTGGAGGATACAATTGACGCCGGTATCATTCACCTTTTTAAGGAGTCCATGGTCCTATCCATTTCACATGGCCCTGAAAAACGGAAAGGGCAACTGAAGACATTTTGGAGTCTCCCGAAGAACCAATTCTGTCTCGACATCAGATCAGTATCCTCTCCCTCGAGTAATTGATTTTGCTTCAACATTAAAATCTAAAATTGTTTTCTAGAATAGATACCTCAAATCACCTCTCTTACCTTTTATAGAAAAACAAGAAAACGAGTCGCCTAGTATCTTGTATGAACCAGCAAATTGTACAGGAGAGGATTCGGAGTTGGAAGGCAAAACGATGGCGGAGTGTGATGTCGGTGCAAGGCAGCAGTTTTTGGGCCTAGGTGGCTACAAAGAGGAATAGTATCAACGACAGTCACAAGTGTGAAATTTTGGGCCTAAAATTATTGTGCGTACTTCTAGTGTCATGTTCTGATTGGTTCAATGGCTCGATTTATCAAAAAGGTTCGATGCGATAGCTAGGTCCGCCTAATCACTGAGACAGTGCAGATAAGTCATGCTCCGAGTGGCTTTACGTCTTTTGGGAGATGGTTGCGATGACAGATGCTACAAAAGCTGACATTATTTTCGATTCCCGGATTCTTTTATTCATTCTGATTCACGGTCATTTCTTTTAGCATCGCATCAAAACTGTTATAATTAATTTTTAGCGAAATTTTGCCTGCTCAATATAGGTTTCAAATTTACTTTTTGCTGGCATTTATTAAGTAGTTTTTTTTCAACTCAGGTACCACACAAGGCCTACTGAAGTTTCCAATGGCCTTAATGGACCCTATTAAACGAGTCATTCGCCATTCCACACGTAAAGCTGCTGGCCATAATAAAGAGGAAGAAACTCCAGTTGCCGGTGCAGCATTTGGATTTAATCAAGTAAAAGGTGGGATCTAAGACTTATGCCTGAGTTTTTAATTTCTCGTGCCATATCTTGGAAAATTATTACGATCTCTAAAATGAAGAATAAGCAGGATAGTAATGCTCGCTACGTAAATCAGGCGCAGAATGCCTTATATTAATATTGTCTTTAAATCAATCCTGATATACCAGTCTAGGTTTTCTTGATTTCTTGAGATATTTTTTGATATTCCTTTATTCGACTCATCTAGGGTTAAAATAATGTCCGTTTTTGCATTGTTTTAATTATTATCGAATTCTTATCAATTAATTAAATAATCTATACCAAATTGTTGAAGTATAAGCACAGTGTGCGATTCATTTTACCTTTTAATTTCAATGTGTCGCTTGGTATTTATGTCAATCCTATCGCTGTTTATTATAAATTTATATCAGCCGAAAATGTATTCCCTTCGACCCCAAGTTCGTTAAAGCAACGTCTAGATGAGGCCATTGAATCGGTCAGCAACGTCCTGCCTAACGTAAGCGATATGCCGACCTACACTTTTGTTTCATCTCCCACCTCTGCTGATTCACATCATATATCGAGTTCCCCTGAGGGTTCAGGAGCAGGCGAGCCGCACCCAGAACTTCGAGCCAGCTCCATAAATGAAGAATCGCTGTACCAGACGTATCTGGCAAAATATCTTGGCGACTGCTCTTTCGAGTCACGCATCACAAACAATGAGCCAAATTTAGATACTGGACTTCGATTGTTGACCAAAGCATTAATAGATCCCAGACTTTTCAACCTTACAGCGTGGTGCTACGATACACCCGGTTTGCTTGCCTCGGATCAGGTAATATACGTTGTTCATTCTAATCATTCCTTTTTATTTTATGCTACTGTCTTGAATTAGTAATTTTTTGATAACACCAAATTATTTATCATCTCACTTATGGTCTAATTATTTATTTAGAAAACTCACATAATGAGACGTACTCCTACATTAACTAAACTTCTCTTCATATCTTATATATTTTATACAGTAGATTGGCTTTGCATATGCTACGAGATTTATTTTTTATGAAGCCGCCCAATGATTTGAATTTATTCTGTGGCGGGCATTTTTATTTAATTCATCCGATTATGAATCACAGCCTAAGCCTTAATTTGGACAAGCTGGCTATTCAAACTCTCAGTATGTATGCTATTGTAGATCCTAAATGCTAGTTCCAATGTTCATATTCACATGCTTGCTCTTTGCTAGAAATTTATTCAGTTATGTCCATTTAAGCACCAATAACCTATTTTCATCACATTCTTTCTATTCTCCTGCACAGATGTTGAATTATCTTTCCCCTGCTCAGCTGTCTCATTTACAGAAAATCGAGGGCTCGACTTTTGATAGACGATTTAAGGACACAGTTCATGCGAAAAACTTGTTGATCCCACGGACTTTTGTGCTACAATCGGGACTCAGTCTTCTTCTTGGGCGACTTGGCCGGATCGATGTTATT